TTCCTGTTCGAGTCGCGAAAGACCGACTCGGGTGGAAAAGTTTTTTCATTTTTCTCTCTTCTATTAAGAGGAACCGTCGGAAATTATCGATTGCTCCTGTTACTCCCCGGAGTATCGCGAGCGGCCCGAAGAAAAATTGAGGAAATACGGAAGTTTTCCAAGTTTCGCGGAGCTTGCTCGTCTATACGTAATTACAGAAATTCGTTTTCTTTATTTCATCGTGCTCTGTTTCTCGCAATATCGCGCGCTTCTACAGCGAAACGCTCTAAATGGAATGGAATCTATCGATCAAAATCGTTGGACGATTACGATTATTCGAGGCGGATTAGGCGGTCACCCATCCAAGTACCACATCCGCGCCCAACGCATCTTAACTTCGGTGATAACCAGGTGATAGGACGACGAGAACCGGTGTTGGTGCGCGCGGTATGGTCGTTGACTGAAACGAACAAAACGTAGATCGAAACGGTATCTCGCTCCATAGAGACAAGATTCTGGTAACGTCGAAGAAACTTTCGAATCGGAATGAAAAATATTCCCTCTGTTTCCATTCTCGCCGAGTGTTTGTTGCGCGTTCGCAGTTCGTTGAACGTTCTCGCTCGCAAAAATGAGGCGAAACCCCGTAACAGGTCAGGGACGAGGATAACGGTAGCGGCGTTCTGATCGTCTATCGGTGCAGCAACGATTCCCTTTGAATCCTCGAGATGTGAAATTCCATCGTTCGATGAGCCGGTAACAACATTTTTTTTCTCGATGAGATCGCGAGGCCCCGATTGTTGGCTGGCCGTAATTACAAACTGCGCCGTACGATGATTGAACAGGCAAACGTACACGCTTTCCGTATTACCTTTCCTCCTCCTTCTCGTTCGCCTTTTTATACATTTTTCATCAATCCGAGCCGAGAGTAATGCAACTGTGTACAAGCTGAAAGAACTGGATGGAAAACAGAGCGAAGAGATGATAAAACACTTTCGTTCGCTTCGACCGATAACATTGCCACGAAGTGGGAAAAGAGTATGGCGGTGGTGCGAACATTTACGAGCTGACTTTCGAACGACCCTCGAGGAAACATCAAACAGAAAATCTGTTTCCATCGTCACGTTTGCCTGTGCTCGAACATAACAACGCTTTTTTTTTTTTTTTTTTTTTGACACGCTTTTCGATGCTAGTAGTAGTTTTTTTTGCAGTAGCGTATACAATAACACGAAATAACATAGAATAAAAACTAGATAAGCCAATTGAGTCGCATCGAATATGGCCAGGAATCGCGCACACGGGCGCCATGGACACCTCTGATATATGCTACCAATATCTGTTTCGAACGCGACAAGGAAAATATATATTTACACTTTTGCAAAGGCAAGGTTCACCGAGTTTCCGCGTCTCGAGTGTCCATAATTTAACACGGCCAAGACTTTTCCGTGAGGATCGCAAACAGCGTCGGAAGAAGCGCTATTTCACCGGTCGGAAGAGCGTGCCGAGGGAAACTGACGACCGATTTTCGCCCCAGCGTGCAATCCGGAATATCTCGAGGAATTCTCGAGTTTACTTCGAGTCCTGCAATCGATAAAGTTCGTCCTGTGCCCCTGGCCGCCGTTGGCTCGTTATATTTTATTCAGAATTAGAGTGGAAGTTAACGAACCTCCTGGCGGACCGTTTAAAGCGACGGTATTTCACCCTTTCCGTCATACCTGTACCGTGTACCAAAAGTAACAAAAACTATCGGCCTTTGGCACCTTACATTCTAAATTACGCGTTGAAAACTGAAATGGTTTCGCTAAAATAAATTCACGTTTGGGTGACAAAGCGTTTCGAGACAAAATGTTACGTATAATTTTGATTCATAAATGAATATCGATGATCGATCTTAAATATGTATAGTTAAATGTATATCGAGTAAAATAAATAAAATTAAAGATAATTACTTAAATACCCTGTGAATATTTCCATGCGAATCGGTCAACTTATTAAATAAACGTACGTGTTCCTCATTTTTTTTTTTCTTTTTTTTTCGGTTTTCATTTTGCGTTCGCAAAGTCCTGTTCCCTCGGTCTGGATGAAATTTACGTAACTCGATATCGACGTGGATATTGCACTCGGCTCGAAGTCGTCCCGACGATTAAACGGAAGCGACCGAGCGATGGACGCCAAAGGTGGAAACGCAAGAGTAGGAGAAGAGCCTTGGTAAAGGTTCCGCGAGGACAACGTCGGACGTTGCCGCGAAGCAATTGGAAATAATGGGGATTCACGGAATGAGAATGAAATATCTGCGAGGATAGCGGCGAAAAGGCTGCGATTCGAAGCAAGAGATTGCTGCGTAATAAGCAGCGACCGTCTTCCCCGCCGTCCTTTTTGTCCCGTTCCTCGTCAGTTTGTCATCAGCGTCTCGAATTTTTCTCCCTGTTCCGTCTACCCGATCTCTCCAGCTTTCCGGAGACGGGCAGAATTCTTTCCCGAACGAGTTCTGCTTTGTTACGCGTAACTCGCGACGGTGTCGAAATGAAAGGGTTCCGAAAAATGTTTCATCGAACATCCAACAATTATCGTTGTATCGAAAGTAAAGTTACTCCTAGCTTTATGTCTGCAGATTCGAAGAACCGAAACCGTCGCCATGGCTCCGGTACGATAAAAATGGAAAATTGTTTGCGTTGCGCATGAACATACATATATAATGCTCCGGAAGATTCGACATTTTTATTTCAACAAAAAACAAACAACGTCTCGTCTGGTACACCGGTTGAACAAAAATTTGAATTTCAATTCGAAACGAAACATTTCACGGTGAACAAATAAAAGGAAATTTGTTTGATCGTACGAATGATCGTTGCAAATGAAACACTTTACGGTGGCATTCATTCGGTGATTTGTTAGCGAGATCAAATTCTGCCCGTCTCTGTAACTTCCCCGAGGACTCTTTGCTTGTTCATTAACCCTTTGCACTCGAGGCCTTTTTCTCTGATATCTGTCTCGAGATGCTCTCTTGGCATTCTATTGTCACGAATGCTAAGCTTAGATTGACTTCGAAAATGAAATCTCTAATTTGAAGATCGGGCCACCTTTCCAAAGAAATGAAACCTATAGGAAAGCTAGTGGTCACCTCTCGAACGCAAAGGATTAAATCTGCATACGAGGATAAACGTTTCCAATCCTATTAACTGGACCTTCTTCGAATTACAGCTGCGTGCAACATGTCGATAAAATAGCAAAATTTTATTTCGAAAGAAGAGCGTACACGTTTCGGTGTGTATGCTTACTCGAGTCAATTATTCGAACTGTTGCGGTGAATTGAATCGTTAGGGGTGGAAAAAACGTTTTTGCTCGCAAAGAGACTAGTAGCGAGTACACAAACACAAAATTTCGTAACAAGCACGGGAACGCGTTATTTACATTCAATTCCAGTTACATCCAGCGATCCGACAACGTTCCAACCATACACGTGTCGGGCTGCGCGGTTGTACTGTATCGTAAAATTGAAAGAACGCCGAGTTAATGAAGAAATCAAGTAATCGAAGAGATTCCATCTTGGGTAAACGTGATACAAGAAGAGGAAATCCTTTTCGTTCGATTTTTGCTACTCCGTCAACTCCGTTCTGCATTTTTCTCGTCCTTCCTTAGCCCTCTGCTAATACCTCCCCTGTTCGTTTCGTCTTTAATCCCCTTCGCCACGACCTATTCCTTCGTCTCGTTCTCTCGGTCCGACGACGGCCGCGCGAGCGCGACCCAATAAATAATTCATTCTTGATTATTTCCTGATATTCGATTCCGGAATCTGGGCACGTACGTTCGACTTCTGCATAATTTATTCCCGGTAAAGTGGCGCGTATAAATCCCGCGGAAAAATATAGGAAAGGATCGGGAAAGAAGCGAGGCAAGCCGGTGCTAGGAGATCCCCCTCGAGCACAGTCGATCGTACGCGTTAAGCTTGATTTCCAGTAACGCTCGAGTGACGCTCGCGCTCGAGTGATGCTTACACCAATTTCGAGACGAAACGCGCCGCTTCCCAGTCGAGTCGACCGACAAAGCTTGGAAATATAGCTGCGAAGCTGTGGTCCGTGTGCTATAGACGGGATCGATTCGGAAGCGTTGCTCTAAACATTTCGAATCGAACAAACTACCAACCCGTACTTTGAAGCGTACGCAAAACTCTCTCGATGTTAACAAAAATTGAGCAAATTCGTTCTGTCTAAAAATGCATCGATCTTGAATGAAATAAATAATTCGAGCGTTACACGTTGCCAACTTACACAAGGTGCAACGGTAGCGCACATTCGCATAGAGAAGGAAAATATCGAAATGGAAACGTCCCGAGCCGTTATTCCGATCTCAGCTTTATCGTGTTTGTTCCGAATTCTTGAGGTCGGCCAATCAGCACGCGCTTCTGCCGAAGAGCGCGGGAGGCCAGCGGGAATCAAGCTTAATCGGCACGCTTCGGGTCAAACGCATCCGGCGCATATCGCGAGTATCCGGTCGAATTGTGTTGTTTGCGATGTGCATCGATTTAAATCCAATTAACGGCGGAACGAGTGTGTGCATCGATACTAAGTGGCTGTAGCCGGTCCATGAAGCGCGTAATGCCGAATCAAAATAATTATAATTGCCGTGTCGACACCTCGCTGTTTCGGGCGCGCGCGCGCGCGCGCGTTTTGACCGAAGAGACGAATACGGTAATTGTGTGTTTAACATCGCGTGTTTACTGCGTTTCGCTAATTCGCGACACGCGAGCCTCGCTTGTAACTGCCGGCACCTGTGCGGTGGCGTCGGCGCGATCGCCAAAAATTTGCAAAAAAATGTACGATATATCGGATCCCGACATAATTACTCACGGATTTCGATTTCTTTACGTGTCTCTATGTTCGTTTCGCGAGAAGCTAGGGATCGTTCGATTTCCACGCTTCATTTTAGTCGATGAATTTGTCACGTTTCTGTATTTTAACGTCTTTGTCCCGGGGTGGGGGGGGGGGGGGAATGTAAACTGTAATGTTCGCGTTCGTGTGACAAAATTAGAACAGCCCGTTCACTTGAAAGCGGGGTAAGCAGAGATTGGTATCTCGAGCGGAGAGGTCGAGCGTCGCGTGTACCGTCCGACCGGGAAAGCAAATGAAATTGTCACCGTGAGTGAGCGAGGCAGAGCGAGGCAAAGGTACGGTGAGAGCTAACGTAAAGTAAAAATTTCTACATTTTTCTTTAGCCGACCAAGTAGTAGCGTTTCATATACAGGACAGTTAAAATGTGTTGACAGTGAAAACACTCACCCTAGTCGGAAAAAATGATTGGCACCGTACGAAGTGGCGCGTACGTACCTGCAACAAAATTAGGACCGAATAAAAATAAATAAATTAGAAATAAATAAATTAAAAATAAATGAAAGAATACGAGCGAAAATCGATGCAACATTGCGCGGGTTAAAAGAGAATTAAGGTTAGCAGACGGCGTGCTAGGAGCCGGGAGCATAAATATTACTCGGTTAGTGGAACACACCCTAACCACAGCCTGGCGTGTCGCATTACTAGCTCCCTGTCTGTATTAACTACTGGTGTGATCGCAAACAAATATATTTGTCCAGACTAGAGTCAATTAAATGCAACGCCCCATTGGTTCCCTGGTATCGACACACCGTTAGTTAACCCATCATACACGCTATCGATTGCAAAACCTCGCGTCGAACCGGTCGAAACATGTATTTCTAGACGCGATTACTAACAAAAGTATATATACCCAAGTGTATATAAAAATCAAAGAGCAAAAGAGCGAAACTAGAGATGACCCGGAGGTGAAAAGGAAATACGAACAAGCCGGGGCCACCTGGTCGGTTTACGGGCAAAAAAAAAAAAAAAACAAAAAACACAAAACGTTCATCGCACGCGCGAGTCATGCGCCAGTTTAAAAGAAAAGAGAGCTGCTGAACGCGAGTCTTAACTGGTCAATAAACAGAGCAGGCAGAAACGGGACGGCCACTTCGGTTCGTATTTAACGCTGAATAAGCAAACAGTATATCTCCGAATGTCTTTCCAACGAGTAGCGTAAATATATCAAGTTTCAAGCGATACGCGCAACACGCGTGTACGCAATACGAAGATCGTTTAACTCACCGTAAACCGAGGCTGTCTCCGGCAAACGGCGAGCAATGCGCCGGGATCACGCAATCGTAATGTGAACTCATCGGTTTCGAAAGTATCAGATTAGATCAGGCCACGGCAATATCCATTAGCGTGATCCTCGCTCTAATTTATAAAGGTTAACTTAATAAGGGGCGCGTGTAAAGATCGCATACCGGTTGGAGAACTGTAACGTTCGTTTCGATGTAAAAATAATCGAATTCCCAGAGACGCTGGCCGAGCGATTTCTATCGGAGGTAACATCCGAGTCCCTTCGATTTCAAGGTACGCCGGCTCTCGATCCCCCGTGAAGGAAGAAATTAAAAATAATCGACGAGCATTTCCTCCGACGGGACGGTGCTCGGGCGGTCACGGATCACGGATCGTCCGACCGCGCGGAATTCCACGGAATACGCTGCGGGATAAAGCATTTTCCACGTGTGTTTAGTTCGACGGCAGAGCGAACGGATCCGTGGAAGGGCTGGGAGGAGTTGGAGATGGCAAGATGTGCAACCGGCGAAGACGGGAAAGGAACGAAGCGTAGGGGGATAGCGAACGGAGAAAGGCAAAGATTCACATCGACGGCCAGGCATTTGTTCCAAGATGATTCCCAGATGCTTGATCGCTCAAGCAGATATAATCCCACGAGCCGGGCAAACAGGATGATTTTAAACAAAGGAAGGCACCCGTTGAAGCATGATCGAAGTTCGCCACGGTACGTGGCCGTTCTTTGCCCGGTCTTTTACACGCCTTCGAAACCAACGGCCAACAACGACCACGAATCGACGGTCTGGTTGCTGCCCGATTGACGCGCCTTCTACCAAGAAGCTACAGTGTCTTCTTCTCTCCTTTCTCTCTATCGCTTCCTCTCTCGTAATGCACTCACCGACACGGCCTCCATTGGTGGCTTTTATTGGCTGCTCTTCGAGCTGCATCATCGGAAAAATTGTTTCGTTGGGACGCGTGATCGCGCGATTACGCTTCGGACCGCTGGATGAGCGTGTCAGAGATGGACGGAATTTAGTTTCGATGATTGATGCCGATACTAAAAACGACGAAATCTATACCGAATGAAACCCACAGTCTACTTATTACAAAACCACAGATATTTTCTCGAATTTATACTTTCACACAGATAGATTTCAGAAATTCAGACTCGAGGACACGTATGACTTTCTCTTCTGAACAGTACATGTACATTATTATTGATATTTTATACCGTTGAGTGCGGCAATACCAAGCCGATGGCGTGCGCTGCATGAATGTGTGTGTATTATTGTGTCCGTACGTATGTACCGGCAGGTCACCGCGAATAAAACACGTGCTTTAGTTCTACATAATAAAAGTTACGTACAATTAGTTAGCAACAAGGAGATAGTTGACTTATTCCCGTTAGTCAGGATAACCTTATCCAACATGTACATATACATATGTATGAAATATACATATATGTATATGTATACATATATATGTATAAAATATACATATCTATATTTTCGTATGTGCACGCATTCTCGTAGATGTCCCCGTATTTCCATTTTCCGCAGATGCGCAAACATCCGCAACCTAGTTATCGCTAACGCGAGTTATCGTACGAATTTTCGCGTCGCTTAACGGCAACGCGCCGTATTTAATCACGGTAGATGTGCGTGCACGCGTCCCGCGTAAAAGGGACAGTGTGCGCGCGCGGCCGCCGGAAAACGAGAACCATTTGGATGTCGGTTAACGCGAACAAAAGTAATCCTTTTCCTTCAGCGGGGCGCGCTCAATTAGACGCGGTGAACGCGACGCTGCGTGTTTCCAGAACGTTTGCCGTGTTTCAAGGGGCGCGAGACTGTCTTTATCCGACGCGAATCAATCGCCCGCAGCCGAGGAAAGAAAGCATGACACATTAAAATCCAGGGCTGGGTCTCTCTTCGAATTGCGGTTTTCATCGCTTTACAAGCGCGTTGCTTTTATTTTTCAGATTTAGCGTTCGGTCGCTGTACAGGGACTTTCTATAGCCTCCGAAGCACCGCTCGGTGCAAAGGTACCAACGATCCTATATACAGGGGGAGCAAAAAATTCCTACCTTTTTCGATCGTTCCCCTATTGTTCGCCACGATATTTGTTTTTCACTCGACAATGTTCCAGTGTTCGTGAATATAATTAAAATTCCAACTTTTATCAAACGCATTTAATGAATGGTTCGATTCAAAATTTGTTATCCGTATTTTTCTCGTCTCTGTGGTGCGTGTATAAGAAAAATCTGTACACTTGTAGAAAAATCGAAGAATATCCAAAACTTTTGACCGGGAGCGTACTTCTCCGATGGAAAAAAAAAAAAAAAAAGAAAAAAAGAATTCAACCCTGCCGCACGCACCATGACCACGTTCACGTTACATCGACATCTTTTGATGTCCGCTCTGCACGCAGAATCGATTCGAACTTTGCAAAGTAAGTGGACCGAAAATGTAGAATCGATTCCATTTCCGACGCTGTTTACATGCGCGACACGGATGCGCGTTCCTCTGAAACTTGGACGCTTATTCCCTTTACTTACTAATTAGAAGACCAGAGACGAGCAAGATTCTTAACTAGAGAAAAAGTTTCGAACAACATAAATTACAATCTGACGCACGAAACAAAGTTAACGCGTTCGCGTTAAAAGAATTCGTGCGCAGTGAGTGGTAATTAACCCAGCGTCTATTTTATTTTGCCTGCCGTTACTCTCGATTGCCCGAATACGTACGTACAAAAAGCATCGGGTATCGCGAAGAATCAAAGATATTATACCATCCGCGAAACGCCGACGAAAACCATTACCTCCGTGATTACTCCGCGAGAGTTGTTCTCGATGGGAAAAGTTATTCGACCACTGTTTCGTTCGCACGATTGGAAAACAATACATTCGACGAGTCCAACAAAAATATCCACCGATCCGTGCCAGAACCAATCTACAACGATGATATTCGAACAGCGCTGCGACCTCGGGCTATTTTATATTAAATCTTTAACTTTTGTTTTCCGCCGCGCCAACGTCCGGACGAAATAACATTTAAAACGTAGGGTTTAGCGGACCGTCGGAAGCTCAGCAGGAATTTTTCAACGCGTTCAAATCCGAAGCGACTCGATTCCATTACTACCGCGGAGACTTCGCTAAGCATTAGCTCGAGGTCTATGGATTTCACGTAAAGCCTCGCGCCGTTGGAGAGTTCGTGTTACCTTGACGAGGCTCTCTCGACAATGCATCACCACCGTTCGCTGCTAGAATCGTATTTCGTTTTTCGTCGGAGAAGAGGTAGCAACCACTGCCACTCTCTCACGCAACCTGGCAACTGCGTTCCTCGATGAGCATCGAGCAAGCACGGTGGAAAAGAGAAAGAAAAAAGAGTGGAAGAGAGAAAGATAGCATCGACGATCGAACGTTCCTCGCGAGTTGGCTTGGCTATCGAGTCTGGGAGGGCTTTTTGTTTTTATCCTCCGCTGCCTTTTGTCTACGTTTTCTTTCTGCGTTGTTTGCGCATCAGTTGAAGCGTGGTACGCTATTTCAAGAACGAAACGCGACTGAAACGATTCCCGCAGTCTCCGTCATTGCCGGTGAATTTTTCGACGCGAAAAAAAAAAGCACGAGCCAGTGGTTTCAGATTTTCTTTCTGGTCCGGAAATATTTCTCCAATCGAGAACTTTGCGTTCGCCGGTACCTCCCTTCGGCGACGGTTTTCAAAAAATCGACCCGCAGCGGATTCACTCGACCGAACGCTCGTCATTGTCGTATAATTAAATAGAAGCCATTTCTCGTAGCGACAGCGATCCTTGCATTTTCTATTCCGCTACGTTTCGGCTAAAAAATGCCGGAGCTTCTCGAGTTCGAAAAATTACCCGCGAATGGTTAAACGCACAACTCTTCTTGTTCGCGGTACATTTAGAAAGAGGACGGGCATTTTCCAGCCGAAACAAACAATACGTTATTTATATAAAAGTCGCCGTCTAACTCCGTTCACGGCTCGATTAAAATTTGCCCAACCGAAACTGCTGCTTCTCGACAAGTTTTTCACGCATACTTCCGAC